TTTTTTTTTTTACAAAGGAAAGGCATGAGTTTCCCCCCCTTTCGGTAAAAAGCAGTGTGTGATGAAGTCTGGAGCACAAGAGAGAAGGGTCTCACATCTGGAAGCCTTTCGCACACAGCTATAAAATGTAAAAACTGACCCTTGGTAAAAAGTGCTTTGTAACAATATATAATTTGTGTCTTATGCCTGTGAGAAAGAGAAGGTTTGTTTTTTATCTGCAGAGTCCTTTGCTCGTCTCCCAGCTGGTGTGAAGTTTTCCTATGAGGGATTTTTCACCCTACTCTTCGTAGACCCTGGGAAGAGAAAACACCCACGTTAAGTGGCTCAGGACATGACACAGGGCGGGGGCTAAGCTGCTTCATCCTTGCCTTCGGGAGTGCCCCTCCCGGGAAGGCAGGAGCTTGGGAGAAGTAGGGGGGGGGGACACCTCAGAGGAGGTCATCGCATGGACCTCAAAATCTTACCCGAATCTGGCTTTGTGCATTCTCAACCTCTGCGATCCTCAAAGCCCTATGGAGCAAGCCCTCTCTATATATGAGGAAACTGAGGCACAAGGGACTTAAGATTTGCCCAACGAACACTGAATGTCCACGGTGGGAATGAGGTCTGTGTCCAGCATGAGCAGGGAGGGGGCAGGGGAGGACAGGGCATCCCATCCTTCAACTCAGGCTTGTATCTTCCCTTGTGTTTTGCCCAGAGAATGCATGTCTTCCGGAAAAATGCTAGTTTTAGAAGCTGCTGCCTAAAGACTGAAGGGTGGTTAGTGGGGCTGGGGCCTGTCCCAGAGGCCTGTGGTTCCAGGTCACTTCCTTTTAGTGGTTGTAGGACCTGCATGACCTCCCCCCCCCCCCCCCCACCTCCCAGACTGTCTCTATTTCAGATCTTAAATCCCTTCTGTTCTGCCCCATGGCTGTTTCAGGCCCATGCTTCGTACTCAGCCCACCCATTCCTCTGCCTCATTCCTTGTTTCGGAGTAAGACCACCTGACTGTACTCCGCCCAATGCTGCTGCTTCCCGTGGCAGCCGGGAGCTCTGGGCTCTCAGATGCGGAGCTGCTAGGCTGGCTCCACAGACCAGCAGCTGCTGGGCCTGCCAGCAGCCCCCAGGACTAGCCTGGGCCGGCCTGCTGGCATCTCCTTCCTGCACCCTACATTTAGCATTCTCTTGCTGTCTCTGCAAAGGGGACTTCACGGTAGTTTCTTTCTCTCCATTCTACATTCGTGGAGACATTTCCAGCCTTTTACAGGGGGAGGGGAGGTGGGGAGGGCAAGAGATCGTCCCCTTCCTCTCCCAGGATGCCTCGGCCTCCCTAGAAAGAGGATGAATTCATTTTGTAATGAAGCCACGGTAGGCTTGGTCACCGAGTGGCTCTCCTCACTGGAATTTGCAGATCTAAAAAGAGCAGGGCTGCATTGTCCCATGCCTGCCTCCCCGTCGTCAGAGCCATGGCCCAGGTGGAGGGCTGAGGGACAAAGTGTGTGCATCGCCCGAGTGTCTGCCCTCAGTCCTGTGCAGACGGTCTCAGCCCCCTTCACAGACTGGCCCTGCATTTAGCCCCATTCCACTTGGATGACGCAGGGCCTGGAGAGTGGCAGTGGACAGGACGGGTCCTGCTTTGGCCACGTGAGCTGCCTGCCCTGACCAGAAAGAGGGCTTCATTCCCATCAGATCCACAGAAAATAACCTCTTGCTCTCATCAGTTTCTATTTCAAGCAGTTGCAGACGAGGCGGTTTCGGAGGTAGTGCAAAGGGCTCAGATAGTGGAGTTGGGCCTGAGTGTGGGCTGTGGGGGAGCCGGTCATGGGCTGAGCCTCGAGTGGAAGGGCTGGGGAGGGGGGAGCAACGGGAGGGGTGGCTCGGGCAGCCGCTCCAGGCAGGGAGAAGGTGACCTTGGGAGGCCTGGCTTTCTGCCATGTGCTCCCAGGGAAGTCACTCCCCATTTCCACTTCGCCCTGGTTTCCCTCTCTGCAGAATGGGGTGCTGGGCCCAGCTCCCGAGGAAGTCCCCTCTGTGTGTGTGTGCACATATATACGCACGCTATATAGGTACAGGTGTAGACAGGCTCTGAGTGTGGGAGGAGTAGGTGTGCCCTGGGACACGCTCACTTTTATGTGGTATGGGGAGACAGGGAACTTGCCAGATATGGGACCACAGGAGATCAGAGATGGAGAGTGGCCTTCTGATTGTGGAAACAGAACCGAGAGAGGACAGGGGTCTGGTTCACAGCTCTGGTCATCTGGCCACTGCTGCCCCCTGAGATTAACAGTGGCTCTGATTTTAAAGGGTCAAGTCCAAGGTCCCTCCCTGCACCTGCTTGGGAGGGAGTCTGTCAGCTTTCTGGGCAGTAGGGGACACGGGGGCCCCTTGAGGGAAGGAAGTGTTTGTTGGTAAGGTATTGTCCTCATCGTGTGGTGGGGGGGTACCCTGTGTTACAGTTAATAAACACAGTTACTTAAGTGGTCGTGTTTCACCGCACAAGAGTCCCAGAGAGCCATGCCAGCCTCTTGCCCGTTCACTTGACAGAGGGAAACTGAGGGTCAGAGAACTTAGGTTGCTTTAAAAAGAAGAGGAATTGAGACTACAGCTTAACACGTTAGCATGGTGCAAACTTTAGTTCACGAAAGGATAACTTTTCGATGCTTACAGTTGTCCAAGGGAGCAAGGGCCTGCTTTGTGAGGCGGCGAGTTCCTTAACCCATGGGGTTATGTGAACAGGCTGGCTCTCTGCTCGCCGTGGCTACTGTGGTGGGTGTTCACCCCTTCGACGACACTAGAGGAGCTGGCCGGGGTCTGAGACCTGGGGCTGGTGGGAAGCTAGGTGTGAGGAGGTGGGGGCATGCATACCTGCGTTTCTCGTTCCAGGCGTTGTACCACTTGATGAACCGCTTGGTGCTCTGCAGCTTGGGGTGCAGGCAGTGCTCCTGACCCCGGTACCTGGACACGCTCTTGGTGGTGATGCTGAAACGGAGCAGCGTGGGGTGCAGGATTGAGGAGGCTGAATGGCAGCCCCTCAGTGTGGCCTGTGGGCCGCCCTGGTCTGTCCCAGTCAGGGAGGGGCCTGAAAGAATGTGGCCTCCTCCCTCCTGTCAGGGGAACGCGCCCTGGTGCTCACTGCCTGGCTGCCTCTTTGGAAGGTTCTGGGTGTCCCCTTAGTCTCCGATTTCACATACAGTTTAACCCTGTATGGAGTGATTGGCTCTCACTTCTCCCCTGGAGTTCTTAGGGTCTGGGATAGTATCCCCTCCCCCACAAGGCTGTTGCCTACAGGGCTCATGCCTCCCTTGGAGAACAAAGCTCTGGGGACTCTTCCAGCTCCTCTAAACCTAGGATTGGAGAGGTGGAGAGAGCTAATATCAGCAAGGGGCACACGCCGAGACCCCTTTCCTTGGGTACAAGGAACTTGCTCGCGGCAGGGCTCAGACATGCCCTGCACATGGGTGGTCTCTGTCTGACCCTTCAAACCCCAGCGCCCCTTGATCCTCTGAAGTCTGTCCCGGGGCTGGGACATGACGGATCCTGAAGTTAAGTCTTGCTGGCCTTGCAGCCCATTTTGATTCCTGAGCCTGAAGTCCCACTTGTGTCAGCCCCCAGCAAGAAAATAAGACCTCCTCCCCTCAGGCCTCTGTCAGCCCATGTCCCAAACTGAGTGGAGGCCCTAGCCGTGCGGCAGAAAAGCAGGTGGCGCTGTACAGAGTGTAGGGCCTGGGTGTGAATCCCAGCTCTTTCTGTAGGACCTTGGGTAATTTCTCTTAACCACTTTGCCCATCTGTAAAATGGGTTTAATAATAGGACCTACCTCTTAGGGTTATCGGGTAATGAAAGGGTATAATGTATGCAGAGTGCCTAGCACCTGGTAGACGCAACGTGGAGAATTCCTGTCATTAGTAATTGTCTTGGAAGAGGAGATGGCCAAGGAGAAAGAGAAGCCTTAGTGTGTGAGCTCCAGCCTGGACAGGGAAAGCAGGACTGCTGCCCAGGACTGCCATGCATGCCCCTCTCACCCTGGGCTGGGCCAGGGTGGCAGGATTTTAGGAGGAAGCTTCTGGGTAGGGGAGGAAGGATGGTGTTCCAGAACAAAGGACCACCTAGGGGATGTGGAAAAGTGGAAGGTGAGAGGTGCCACTCCCTGAGTGGTCATGGCACGAACAGATGATGGTGGGCTGGGGAATGAGCTGAGGGGGCAAAGAGGGGCAGTTGGAGGCTGGATTGGGAAGAGAAAGAAGGGAGGGAGAGAGGGCAGTTAGGGCCCTGCAGGTTCCCAAGGGTAAAGTGTCAGGGCACATGGGCCAAGTTCCAGAAGGGAGCAGGGCCACCACAAACTGAGTCTCCCTGTTGACAGGGAGAGAAAAACCGAATCTTGCCACCAGAATGGGGGCAGAATATTTCTGGGCGACTTGTTCTCTTCCCTTCTCTGTGCTCAGAGTTTCCAAGGCCCCCATTGCAGCCTAAGCTTCCTAGAGCAGGGGTGGCTCTTCTGCTAAATGCTGTGGACTGGGCTCTGCCTTCACTGGCCCTCTGAGACCAGTCGCTCCCCGGGTCCTGTCCCTCCTGCTAGGTCTTCAAGCATGGGGCCAGGCTTCCCAGTGCAGTCTGCCTGTTCTCCTCTCCATAGTACTCGGTCACTCTGCGGGAATTTAACCCACTGCTCTCTCTGCCTACAGTGCTGCTTTTGCACTTGAAGTGAAGGGATGTGGGCAAGCCTGATGAAGATGCCCTCCTCAGTTAGGTCACTGTGCAGGCTGGGGATTCCCAATTCTGAAGGTCGGGGCAGCAGGGAAGACACTCAGCCCTCCCACCACAGTCCTTGAGTGCTTGTCACAACACTGGGACTATGAAAATTGGTTGTGGGGTGAAGACATGACGATTTATATTCCCAGCAGTTGCTCAGAAATTCTGGGTCCTGTGTCCCCTCTCCTCAGTGGTTCTGGGGTGCTGAGGGTTCGGGCAAGAGTTCATAGGGCACAAATGGCCCTTTATAATATCTGGAGTCTACTCCCACTTGCAAAGCACACTGGCCTCCCCACCCCACCCCCAGCCTCATCAGAGATTTCTGGGTGACTCAGGGTGAACTGGAAAACTTGCTTTTGTTCAGCGTTTGTGGCTGAAAACCTGCTTTGGCAAAAAGTGCTGGCCCTGCATCTGATCTAGAGCCTCTTAGGAGCTTGAGACAGGAGAGGATGTTCAGCCCTTCAGTGCTGTGGGCGGGGCTGGGTGTGGGTGAAGGTTTAGGAAGGAGACCGGTGACTGTGTTTGGACCTCCCGAGGCCCCTGCCAGTTTTCACAAGGTTGCGTAAAGCCTTCTCGCACCTGCCTGCTGTCAGTTTCCTCTCTATTCTGAAAAGATTTAGTCGGGAGAAAGAGTAAGCCTGTTTATTGAGGGTCCTTTAGAGAAGTCTCTGCACCCCATACCCTGCTTCTCTTTCTCTGCAAGGTCTTGGCACCTGGCCATGGGGTGTGGGGTGGTTCTCAGTACTTAGAGGAGTGCAAACTTAATTTGCTACGTCCCTGTCATCTTCAACCCCCAAGCTGGAAACCATGAAGGACTTGTAGCTCCTCCTTTAGCTTGTGGGAACACTAGCCCCCACCAAAAAAAGATTTTCCGGCAGTTCTTCTGGACTTGCGTCTACTAGGCAAGGGACAGGGGTTGATTTATGTGCCTGGGTAGAAAGGCAGTGGGGTTCGGCTTAAGCCTGGTGGCTTTGCAAATTCCCCTAACTTCAGCCTGACTGTGCAGCCCCCAGGTGGCAGTGTCTGGGGGGAGGTGGGCTGCCTTTGCATACACTATGCGGAGGCCTTGGGACCATCGGGGCCAGCGGATAGAAGGCACTTGCCCAGACTGAGAATAAAGTGTGTCCTGTTTCTGGGGGAGGGGAAGAGGGGCCAATGGTCCGTGGCAGACCACGGTAGCTGCTTTGCCAAGGGCTTCCTTCCTGGCCAAGTGCATACTGATGGGGAAACAGTGGTGCTGGACTCAAGTGGTTAATTGGGAAGGCAGAGGAGCAAGGAAACTCCGTGTTCTCTCACTCTGTCCCAGTTTTAAAAATATTCTTTGCATCCCCACCAAGCAGGGCTCCAGCCGCATGGCACGTTAACCCCAGCAGATCACTTTGCCCAGCACTGCTCAGGCTCAGGGACCCACAAGAGTCCAGCCGGTGGTGGAGGATCAAGGATCAGTCTCAACATGAAATCGCTAGCAGCCAAAACAGCTGGCTGTGGTCCCCTGGTAGGGAAAAGGCTCTGAAAGGAGGGTTGGGTCTGAGGACTTAAAGACAGCATTTGTTTTAATTCTCTCTCCAGCAACAGGAAGGCAACATGCGTCCCAGTTTGGGTGCAAGTTCAATAGTTCTGGGTGAGTTTGGAGCGCTTTCAATCCCGATGCTCTAAAGTTGGCACGACCAGAGCCATTTAACCCTTGATCACCCCAGAATGGTGGGCAGTGCAAGCACCTAGGCTACCCATTTGAATCTTAGCAAGGGTGAACACCCAGAGGCTGTTTCCAGAGAACAGGGCAGTGGTCCCTCTTTCCAAACTCTTTCAGACTGTCACGCCAGCGTCCTAGGGACTTGCTGGGCAATTACAAAGCCTCCTCCAAGGCCTTGCCAAAGGCACAGAGGAATGTCTGTTAGCCCCACCGACCAGCCCCATGCTGTGCCCCAGCACTGGGTTAAGAGCAGCCCGCACACACGCTCACGGTGAGGAGCCAGAACTCACATAACCATCTTCTCCTCGCAGTGCGGGTACTTTGGCTTCATTTCCAGCTTCTTCACGTCGCTGTATCGAATCTTGGGCCCCTTTCGGGAGCATTTACATTTGGACCCTGGGAGAGAGCGCGACGGGTATCATTCAGCTGCGTGTGCGGTCTCCTGGCCCCCCCCCCCCACCGCCCTAGGTGCCCACCCAGGACCTCGGGGGTCTCTGGAAGCCCAGCAGTTGGCGCCCAGGTGCCCCAGGACGGGACGGGACGGCGACAAGAGACCTCCCGGGCACTCACCGTCCACGCGTGCGGCGCACAGCGCCAGGAGCAGCAGGAGTAGCGCGGCGGACAGGAGCCTCATGCTGGCCGGAGGGGCGCGGCGCGGGAGCAGGGACTGGGGAGGGCGCCCGGCCGGCCGGCTCAGCTCTCTCTGCTCGGAGCGCGCCTCCGGCTCTGCTCCGCTCGCTCCCGCTGCGCCCGTCGGTGGGTGCCTGGTGCCGGCTGCGTTCCGCTCCCGGCTCCGCGCTGTCTCCGCAGCCTCCCTCCGCCCGCCCAGGCCTCTTTTAAATCCGCTCCTGCCCTCGCGGCAGCGAGCTCATTAATATGCAGAACCACTCGGTGACTCACTGAGATTTCTCAACGAGGTGGGGGGAGGAGACCTTCCCCGCCCCGGGACCGCGATCTCCGCGGCGCACACTGGGAGCCACGCGCGCACACACCCATTCATACCCGCTGCCCTCTTGCTTCTATACACACTTGCACACCCAGACTCCAGCCCGCGCACACCGCCAGTGCCCCGGCGGTACCGGCTGTTCCGGACACTTTAGAGGCTGCTTAAGGGCGCTGCTTTTCTGAATCGCATGGTTCCCTCTGGCCAGACAAGCATGCTGTCCTGAGCTGCTGAGAGACCCAGGCCCGCGGCCCAGATCTTCTGAGAACTGAAAGGGTTTTGGAACAGGTGCCAGGTGTGAGTGCCAGCAGGCCTGACTCCTAGGGCGTGAGTTGTCCCTGTTGGGCCAGCAGCCTTGGTGGCCAGAGCACAAGGCCAGGTCTGGAGGGAGGTTGCCATAGGTTGTACAGGAGCAAAGTCATTGCCTGTGGTCACTGCGGCTGGCTCAAAGGATGCGCCCGAGGGATTTTTGGTCACTCTGAGAGGAAGACTTCCTAAAGTTGGTACATGGCTGTGTGAGCTGCCTGCGGAGTGCTGAGAACCAGCCAGGGGTTCCTTGCTGTCGTACCATTCTCTAAAGGCTCTGCCCAGCAGGGACACATGGCAGTGGTAACCATTTGGACAAAGTTCATGTTCCAGACATATGCCAGGCTCTGTGGCGTAGTGTTGTGGGCCAAGGCAGGGCAACAGAGATTCCTGCTTCATCACTTACCAGTGCAAGTGACCTCACTACTCTGAGCCTTCATTATGCCTTCTGTAAAGCAGGAGTGTCACAGTGCATGTCACAGGGTGGCTGTGAGAGGTGTGGAAGATCAGACGTGTAAAGTGTCCGACAGAATGCCCGGCCCATAGTTGGTGCCCAGGAAATCTTACCTATCGATATCATTATAGTATGTATTTTAACCTGTGTTATTTTGATTCTTATAAATCATTTTCCAAGTTGGTGTTTTCATTCTTTTTTTGACAGGCATGGGAACAGGTTTAGAGAGAAAAAATAACTGGTCTAAGATCACAGAGCCAGGTGGCTAGGTCAGGAGGGGCTGGAGAATTGGGGCTCCAGCCTCTGGGCTCCCCTGCCTCCCTCAGGCACTTGGGGAAGTGCTTCCTTCTTAGACCCAGCAACAGGGGATGGAGTATCTCGGGCTCCAAGGGTCCCCGGGCTTGGCTCCCAGGCCAGAGCTGAAGCCAGGGCAGAAACTGCCAGGTTCTTCCAGCTCACACAGCTCTGTGCTGTCAGCCCAGCAACTCCCTGGGGGTGCAAGTACCCAAAGGGGGTCCTGGGAGGATGGGGAGGGCAGGCTGCTGGGGACAGAGTGGAAAATTGTACCTTCTCTTCCCAGTTTGAGCTCCTTGGCTACCTGGAGGGGATGCTGAGCCATGAAGGGCCAGCAGAGCTTATGAGCTGGCTTCAGGCCATGTCCTGAGTCCTGTGCATGCAGTTGGATTTGTACTTGAAGCAAGGCGAACCGCTGGACATGTGGGTTTATCTAGAAGATGAGACCAAGGGAGTGATTTGGGGCAATAGCATTGCTTTTCAAAATGTTTAGTCTTTCAAAAAAAATTTTGGTACAAAACCAAAATGTTACAGAAAAATCAGAAAACACAAGCAGAGGAAAACATAAAAGAACACACTTGCACCCACTCAGAGGTCTACACCAAAATGCTAACAGTGTTATCTTTCCCAGCACTTTTGTGTTTGCTTGCATGCATGTGCACAGGTGTGATCAGTGTGTGTGTCCTGTTTGAAAACCCACTTGTTTTACCTGTCTCTGTATCGTCAACATTCTCCCATATGACGGGTTTTGCTTCTACAGTCTCTCTTTAATGGCATCATATATGGTCACCTAGCATTGTGGCTGAGAGCTCAGTGTCTCCATGTCAGACTGCCTGGGTGTGAGTCCTCCTACCAGCTCTGTGACCTGGGGCAAATGACTTCACTCTTTTCAATGCTGATTTTCTAACCTGTGAGGTTGTGATGATAATGGGACCTGTGGCAGAAGGAGAATTAAATGAGATGGTGCATGAAAAGCTTTTCATGTGGTCCCTATAACAGAGTAAGTGCTCAGTAAGTGCTATGGATTGTTGCCATTATTTTGGGTGCAGCCCGGTCCACTGTACAGATGTACTGTAATTACTTTAAGTAATTATTCTTTGCTAAATGTTTAGATTGTCTTCAACCATGTTCTCTCAGTGGCGTGTGACATATACTCTTGTAGCTCAATTTTGGGGCAGCACTTTATTTTTTTTTATTTATTTTTTCAACGTTTATTTATTTTTTTGGGGACAGAGAGAGACAGAGCATGAACGGGGGAGGGGCAGAGAGAGAGGGAGACACAGAATCGGAAACAGGCTCCAGGCTCCGAGCCATCAGCCCAGAGCCTGACGCGGGGCTCGAACTCACGGACCGCGAGATCGTGACCTGGCTGAAGTCGGACGCTCAACCGACTGCGCCACCCAGGCGCCCCTGGGGCAGCACTTTAAAAATTGATCGTGTCTCAGAATCACTGGGCCATTGGGGCATGCTCATCTAAGGCTTTTAATACAAATTTCCCTTCAAAAAATATAATCCATTTTATTTTTCACAAGGAATTTCTTACCTGCCAAGGTTTCTCAGAGCATGTGACATAGATTTTTAAATTAACAATGCTGATTAGGTAAGTGGGATCTGACAGCATCAGGGATCATGGGCACCGAGCTTTTGTAGGAAAAACTAGTTGGCCCTAAACATACGGACCAGTTTCCCAACTTCCAGGGCCAGACTAGAGGTCAGACCACCCATTGTTTTGCCCCCAGTTGTACTCCGTAGACTAGTAGACTACGTATGCTCATCTTTTGTTTGCAAAATACAGCCATGTGTTTTTGCAAGCACAGCTCACTCCTGTTTGTGTGAGTTCTTCGGGGGGCCATGGGTAGAGGAGAGGATGGGGGCCTCCTGCTGCCAGCCTGTCTGTGGATGATGCTGCTCAACTGGGAGAGAGAGGGGGGTCTTGACCTTTAACTTGCCTTTTGGGTGCAGACTCTCCCAAACTCATGTGGGGGTCTTTGAGCAGGTGGAGGAGGCAGGGTGAGGTGGATAAGGGTGAGGCAGTTCTGTGCACAGTGGCCCTAATTCCGGGGTGATCCCTGGGGTGTGATGAAGGACCACACACACATTCTGCCCTTTGGGGCATAGTCTGGTGTGTGTGTGTGTGTGTGTGTGTGTGTGTGTGTGTGTGTGTGTGTGTGTAGGTGCCTGCAGCTATTTATGGTCAGCCTGGCTTCTGTGGAAGGGGTACATGCAACGTGTGGGGGACACAGAGGTGGGAGGAAATAGAAGCAGGAAACCATTCCTTGAGGGAGTGGAAAATTGGCTGACCCTAGGGATTTCCATATTTATTCTGTTCACAGTGATTGAGCACCCACTGTGTTCCAGGCTCTGTGCAAGGTGCTGGGGATAAGGTGAACAGAGGAGGGATGCGCCTGTCCCCAAGGGGTTCAGAGTGTAGTGGGGAAGATGGACGTTAATCAGACAACCAGAAATGCACCTGAAATTGCTGCAGAGCTAGATGTGATGAAGGGAAGCTGATGCTATGGGCCTCACCAGGGGATCTGACCAGGTGGGGAGGTGGGGATGGCTTCCCAGAGGAAATGTCCACCGGGCTGCAGTCTGGAGGATAAGGAGGAGTTAACCAGGTGGCAATGGCAGGGGACCATTCCTGCCCCCTTGTAGTCTGTGCTCCTCACACAGTGATCTCCTGTAGGTAAACCCCTGCTTAATGCCCAACTGGCTCCTGATTTCACCCAGAGTCCAAGCCAGTCCCTGCCAGTGCCCCGTCCCCTCGTGACCATCCGCCATTCTCCCCTTGGCCATGCTCTACCACAGTGCCTTGTCTTCTCTGTCAGACATGCCAAGCCTGGCCCCATCTTGGGATCTTGTGCTTGCTGACCCCTCTGCCCAAACTACTGTTCCCCACGTGTTGGCAGGTGGCTCCTCTGTACAGAAGTCTCAGCCGGAATAGTCACTCTTCAGAGTCAGTCACACCAGCACTCTCATAGTCACTCTCTATGCCACTGGTATATTTTACTTTTTACATTGTATGTGCAACAACCTCACACTGTACTATGTTCAGTTCATTTGGGAGTGTGTTGTGGGTCATCTTCTGGTCTGCTGGTTCCATGAAGGTAGAGTCTCTGTCTTTCTTGCTCATCCTCAGTAAATCTAGGCTGTGTAGACTACAAGGTCGGGGTCGGGGGGTGGGGGGGAAGAGTGTGTGTGTGTGTGTTTGTGTGTTTGCGAAGGGAGTGGGTAAGGGTGGCCATTAGCAAGGCCACGTTCTGAGGAAAGCCAGTTCTTCCCAGTGCATTTGCTTCAGAAAAGTGTTTGCCGGAGGGAGGAGGAGGTGACTGAGCAGGAGTGTGGGATTCCAGGAAACCCCACAGGTGTCAGGGCACCACCTCATAGATCCGCTGAGCAGGTAGATCCTAAGTGGTCAAGGCTGGTTTCCTGTCCAGGGAGCGGAGAGACAACACTTCCTGTGGTGAGATCAGTGTGCCTTTCTCTGAGTGTCGCCCCCACCCTGTGGGACCCTGGGCAACCAGTTGCCTCCTCTTTGCTGGCTCTCTTTTAGCACAGTTCTGCATAGTGACCCCCCCTCCCCAGGGCCTCATTCTGAGGGAGAGGGGGATGCAGGCTGAGGTTTCCTGAGGACAACTCTTGGTTTTATTCTTTATACTTGGAATGGTTAGGGCAGCTGAGCAATTAAGCCTACAGGAAATGGTTCAGGGGGTAGCCAGGCAGTGTTGAATTAGCCTTCAGGCAGCCTTGTGGAGCAGAGGGGCCCTGACTCCAGTGGGTAACTGAGAGTGTTGTGTGTTCCCCCAAGCATGCTACAAGATGCTTGCAGCA